TTCAGTTATTGATTTTGAGATTTAAGCTCTAGATGCAGCCGTACAGGTCACGTTAGGTGACTCCGGCTGCCAGATTATATGTTATTGATATGATTTATACCTGAGCACTTGTATTTCATTCTGAGGTTCCGACATGGCATATTCTTGAGCTTGATTGGCATATCTATATATATACGAGCATATGTTTATTTTCTGGGAAGTATACAGGTTTTACGGCGAGGGGTTAGAATATTGTTTTTGTAATGGTTTTTGAAAAGCTTTGTTTTTGCCCACTCACGCTTTTGTTTTGCGCCCCTCCAGGTTCTAGTTGCTTAGCAGGTTCGGTGGTTTCCCAGAGGGCTTCCCGGCATTTCTGACAGACACTCACCAATGTAAGGTCACCTTCGGGTGCACTGTTGTCGCATCATTTTTATTTGGACTGCTTTAGGCTTATTGCTCTGAACTTGTGTCGTTTCACGCTAGCACTTGTTATTACTTCGACCTTTTGTATGCTAGTTTTAATTATTCATACTTTTATATTACTTTTTATTAGCTTCCGCACGTGCACATGGCTACGTCACTTCCACGTGACGGCCAGCACGCCCTGATCTCGGTCGGGGTGTGTCAGTTAATGTTTTATGATCGTAAAAGTTCAAGGTATCTACTCCTTATAATCAATTTTTTATAAGATTTAGAATGAATGCTAAAAACAATGTTCATTGTGGATGCAAATTTCCGCCTTCTTCTTCTTTGACAAAATTGCACCTACAAAACAATTAACACCTTAGGGTCAAGGCCAAGAGTCTCACGTGCCCACGATGATTTTTGTTGGGGGGGTGGCTGCTTTGGCCGAAGAACCTCCAATGCCAAAGTTAGGATTTAGAAAGAAAAGTGTTTAGAGAGTTTTTGGAGTTTAACAAGAGTGTGACTTAGGTTTTTAGAGAAAAATGGGTAGTATTTATAGGGCATGGCCGGTCCCCTTTGGAGAAAAGGTGGCCGGCCTTTGGGATGCTTTTTGTGTGCATTTTGTGGTTTAATGTGTGAGTTATTTGGCAATTAATGGATTAATTAGGTAATTAATCTATTAATTAGCCAATTAACACATTTTTGGAATGAATAGTTTGGAGGTTATGAAATAATTACCTTGTGGAAAATATAGGATGAGGATGGATGAAATAACTTTGAATTTGTTACCTATTTTGGGCATTTTTGACTTGATTGTGGAATGTTTGTAAGCGATTGGCCTCGAAGTGTCCAAATGTATTGGTGCTCAATAATTGTGATTAATTATTTTCTTGCTTTATTTAGCCAAACCTGGAGTTGTATGAATCACAAATTGCATTTATTTTTTAAACTTGGATTACGTTATTTAAAAGATTTATTATTGCTTTGTTTACGCTTTTTTTTTTGTCTTTTTTTTTTTTTACACACAAAGAACATTTGTCTTAAACAACATTGGTTCATCACTTTTCTTCATTGATCCAAACATCCAAAAGTAATTGTAAGTGTATTTACAATATTTGAAAGAAAATAAAAGCATATTTATTATTCTTATAACAAAAGAATTTTTTTTTTATATATAAAGTTACTCAAATAATATTATATTTTAAATCCAACAGTTTTCTAATTGCACATAACCTATAAAAATGCTGCCATCCTCTTCCATGCAAGCAAATGAAGCTGAAATTATGCAGACTACCAAGAAAGTCACAGTTGACGATTTAGCTCTTTTAGATCCTGATTTATACAAGGTATAGAACATCATTACAGCTTCTTATCTTTTGTTAAGAACCTATAACTGTATTTTTACATCTTTAGTCATAGTTGTATTATGGTAATTGCTCCTATACAAATGTCTATTAAATATTTTACAAGACGATAATTTTTGTGCAAAGCATCTAAGGCGCTTTGACATGGTGTTATAGTACTTGCCCAAATTGTGTCAAACAAATGCACCAGGATTCAGTAACTGGACAACTGATTTGCCAAAAACACCCAAACCAAATTCCAATTACTTGGTAATATCTGACACAGTGTGTTTCAATTTGTCACTTATCACTTAAAATATTTTCGTCTTTAATTTTTTTTTTTTCCTGTAACTTATACTAATGTAGTTAATGGGTAATAGTTTTTCCAATTTAACATACATATGATTTTGCATTTAACCCATTGGTATAAGAAATATTACAATCATAGTATATCACACATATAATCTTCAATTTATTATGGATTAGAAGCATATTAAATAGAATTAGAAAATTAATTAGCAGCTCTTTGAAAATACAAGGACTAAACCTATGAATAACAAAATAATCCATGTATGTACAACGATTTTTTTTTCTTTTTTCCAACATCTGCTACAAACTTTGTAACATTTAAAAGCTCTTTTACAGTTATATAGCTACAATAAGAGATACAAATAACGATCACAAATTTGTAATAATTATCGATAGTTTTACTCTAGGTGTTGTGAATTAGGATTTTTGTCTTTTTTCTTATACAATAACGCAAAATCTGTCTTTCTGTTTGCACACATCTTTTCTTATGTTTTCCCATGCATAATATTCATGTGGTTATCTAAATAACTTCAAATGTTCAAACCATTTAAATTTAATCTTTTTCATCTACATATTAATAATGAGCCATTACTGATAAAAATGTCATACAGTTTTTTAGATAAAGTGATAAATTGTGTGCAATACAAATACAATAAAATCATCAAAAGCAAATATTTGGTTTAAAATCACTGACAGAGTTCATTTGAATGCAAATTTCACGATCATCATAGATAATTTCCCAGCTTTATGATTTAAAGAGATATATGTGATTAAGTATTTCTAAAATCAAATTAATATAACATAAACACTTATATTTCATTATTTTATTTTTCAACTGTAAACTTATTAACATAAACACTTATATCTCATTGGTTCTTGAAGGTGAAACCAATAAGATCAATACTTTGATAATTGGGAAATCAGATGAAAAACATTTTGGATTAGTGAAACAACAACAATTAACAAATAAGTTTCCACGATTGATAAGACAAAAGAAAAAATTTCACCTCTGCTTTGGAGATAGAAGAAACAACTTCAATTCAAATGATGTTCTCATTTACAATGTTTTAGAAGATACAATCTTGGAACCAATAACTCCACAAACGTTGCTAAGAGAAATCACAGTATCTTTAGCCATGTGTCATCTTCTACTTCAACACCTGACACAACTGTGCAATCATACAAACGAAAAAAGGAATCAATCAGGAGACCTCTTTTTACTAGTGGTGAACAAAGGTTGGTTTGATATCTTTTTTGCCATGTGTAAAATTTTAAACAATCGTATATTCATGTTTTCTAATGTTGTTTCCCATGCATTTAAAATAGTGAAATAGAAGAAATCTTAGAGGCCAAGGGACTTTGATGAAGTTCCTATCAAATTGTTGAAAAAAAAAAATCGACTACAACTAGTGCAAAGATAGATACCGCTCCTAAAAAAAAAGACTAGGTGACTATACTTTTGATTTTTTTTTACAGTGTAAATTTATTCAACCATAAATTTAACCCCTCTTAAAATGTTTGAATTTCTTTTTCCTTTGCCTAGGTTACTTTGTTAATAGTGAAAAATGCTCGAACACAATTTCTACTATTCCATCCAAAAAATTTACAGTCCTTTGCCAATGTACATCAAACATTATTTCTAATATTTCTTGACATGTAAATAGTTCTCTAAAATCTAGATCACAAAATATTTTTTACATGCATATACACCAGCATTTTGTAATCTTTTATATATAAATGTTTGTACCAATCGAAAACCAGAAGAAACTACCAAAGTAGAATGGATGACTATCATTTTTCTGTGTACACAAACAAAAATGTTGCAATCTCTTCTATAACCGTTGCATATATCAAGCATTTTCTTTATAAAAATATTTAAACCTTTCCGCTATCAATAATGTTAATATTCTATGACACTATCTCTGCATCTTTCCAACACAATATTTGATGCAGTTTTTCAACCCGCAACAACGTGCGGCAGTGTTTTCTAGTAAAATCTATAAACCAAATTCATTTTGACGGGAGTAATGTCACATCTCGAATTCCCGGTCATGCGGCAAGATCACGTGCTTTCTCACAAGAATGCAACACTTAATTGACAAGTGTGATTCTCCTAATTATTCACAAAACACATTAAACTCTTTTTGTTAGAGAAAAATGAGTTGAAGTAGAGTTTTATTAACAACGAAAGGATCATTTTTATTCGATTCATATGATGACTAAATAGTCTTCAAGGCGAATAATTTTTATACCAATTGATCTTTTAATGATGTTATTTGTAGGATGAAATCCTTCTTATAGAGGAGGAAAGTTTTATCCATTTTATACAATCATCAAGAGCCATGTTCTCTTAAGTTATTCATTTTCAGGACCTGCAAGGACCAAATGCATATTAGCTACAAGATTGAATTAGTTTTAGATCCAAAGACTTTAAAATATTTGATAATTTAATAAAGTAAAACAAGAAAATAAGTTTTCCTAATGGTTGATAGATATATATATATATATATATATATAATTCTTTTTTTATAACAATATATTTTTACACTAAGGGAAGAAATGAGTTCAGCTAAGCCACATAATGAACAACCTAATTTGTACCAAATTCACCATCTACAAGATTCGAACATAAGACGACTCACTTACAAATGAAAATGAATATCATCAGACTATAATTCTGAGTGACATGTTTGATGGATTTTAAGTTGATTTTACTTTATTAATTTATGAAATATTTTAAGCATTTAGAAACTTGTGACTAATATGAATTTGATCCTCAGCTCCTGGAATGAAACCTTGGGTGAGCAGGACACCAGTCATAAAGAGTGGTCGTTTCGGCTAAATTCCCCAAAATAAAACACTAGTTCTCACACGTGCTGCATTCCAAGCGTGAGCTCTTATTTTTTAAATATAAAAGCAAAACAAAAATTGTCCGACGACTTCTATAAATAAAAAACAAAAAAAAAATTAAGCAGAAAAAAACTGCGACCAGATTTTTGCGTACTGGAAAGAGGGAGAGAGGAGTTGTGAGTCTTGAGTTTTTGTTTGTGTTTGGTGTGGGAGTGTGAGGGAGGAAGAAGAAGAAGAATGGAATTGTTGCAGAGGCACAGAGCAGAAATGGTAAGCATCGCAATGGCTGTGGTGGCCATTGGTGTTGGTACGGCCTACTATTTCTACATCACCAACAAGACAAAACAGAAAGGTCTCTTCTTCTTCTTCTTCTTCTTCCTCTTCTTTCAATCATCCATTCTTCCCTTTTTAAGCTTTATTTGTCAGTCCAAATTTTTCTTTTTTAAGCTTTCCGGAGTATACCTGGATTCATTTGAAACCATGTCATTCAGATGGACTGATTGGATTCTACCTATTGCGTTGACTGTTTTGATGAGGGGTTTCAAGCAGATTGCTGTGTGTGTGTGTGCGCGCACGCGCGCAATGTGCTCCAGGGCTCCAGGGACAATGACATGGTTCAAATATCAAGTTGATTGCTATGCTATGCTATGAATGATGAATCTAGTCTGTGATTAAATTCGATTCGGATTTAGGTCATTTAATGGGGTTTCTTGTTTTCCCTTCATACCCTCAGTTCTACTAGACTTTGATTCTTTCTAGTTTTTTGTCAGCTATATGAACTTTTTTCGGCATGGCGCCCTACGATAATGAATCCATTACATTCACATTTCCTAATGCAGTTTTCTGTCATTACAAGGAAACTACGTTGCAATTCCTACTGTAATTATATATAGAAAGCAGATATTTGATTTCAGAAATGATACTTATCCTTTTCCTACGGCTGGTAGGGGGCTTATTCTTTGAGAATTTATCCGAGTGCCACTAGGCTTCATTTATTACTAAGAAACTTAGATGTATTTGGCAGGCAGGTTCTAGCTTACCGTTTCCAAGAATCAGAGGAGGAGTCCTCAGTGTGGTGTTAGAATCAGGATAAACAAAAGCAAAGTATTGATTAGCGACTTGAGGGCGTGTGTGGGAGTGGCTGTTGATACGAGTATGATTAGGTTCATTATTTATTAAATAAATTTACACTTATCATATAGAGCTGGGCACCTCTGCTATTTTAATATTTATCTTTCCTTTTACCCTATGAAATATTATTGAAGTTAAACGATTCTGATTTGAGCAAAATCAATCTTTCATGCTACTAGTGCAATGCATTATAGAACAGCATGCTGCATCCAAAAGCTTCAATCTACTGCTTTTGCTTGACCTTCTAGAGTTTTAACCCCAACCAATATGAGCCGTGATGACGTCATATTGCACGTGTGATTGTTTGCAATGTATGACTCATCTTTATGTTATCTTCATGGTAGAAGGAAGATCAAAGATTGTAAGAAACATATTTTGTTTCTTGTTGTTTTTATACACTCATCTGTTCTAAGTTTACTCAGCCGCAGAGTAGAACAAGTGACTTTTGGAATTTGCAGACTTCATAAGTACATGTCACTGACACCTTTGCTTTCCAGTCATTAGTTTCCCTTGTTGCATTTGCAGACCCATGCATAGTTATTTTCAGCAACGTGGTTATTTTATTTTTATTCTTCTTCACTTGGTTTCAACTACTTCTCTGTTCTGTTATCTCCCAAAGACTTATATTTCTGTTGAAAGAAAATTCAGCGATTGTATGAATCCTGCTTGTTTGGATGTTCACTTCTGACTTGCTGTAGCACTATCCATCTTTTGATCCACCTTTAAGTTCATGCTTGCAAAATAATCAGCCAGATCAAGGTTTATATAACCATTTGATTATCATCATCATATTGGTTGTTTGTCGTCACAGTTTAGATGATCAAATGATTTCCGATATTGCTTATTTTTTCAAGCAATGATTCTTGAAGAACCTAAAAATTTGTCCTTTATGATTATTGAACTACAAACGAGATGGCTGGAGGACATCTGCAGTTTTCAGTATTTGTGGGAATCTAATCAAACCGCCACGCATATTTTTATACATTTGCTATATTGAAACCCCCTTTGGGCATTTGTTGTGCTTCAAAGGTACAGGAGCTGAAGGAATACAATAAGGATTTAAGTAAAACCAAATCACAGGAAGCTTACTTGATATTGCAAAGAACCATTTGCAGACGAATGATAGTTATATCATAATTTTAGCATTTTACCTTTCGTGGCATTCACCATTCTGTAATTAAAATGTCATATCCCCAAGACAACAAGAAGTCCAACTTTCAAGGAATTTCTAGTTGATTAACATTTGTCTTCACTGTATGCTCCATATTTTTCTGTGGATATGAGTTTGCAGAATATGCCTAATACCATGTGTCTTCTTAGGTTGCTTGGATCCTGACAAATTCAAGGAATTTAAACTTGTTAAACGCACTCAGCTCAGCCATAATGTCGCTAAATTTAAATTTGCTCTTCCAACTCCATCAGCAGTGTTGGGACTCCCTATTGGACAGCATATGAGTTGCAGGTTTGGTTCGTTTTTATGATCCAAACTCATTTTTTTTTTCCTATGAACAGGTCATGCTTAGTTTCAACATGTTTGATACTTCTATAATTCTTGTATGCTTGACTTTTGCTATCATGATAGTTTCTTGTAACTCATTGGTTTTTCATACAGAGGAAAAGACAGCCTTAATGAAGACGTCGTCAAACCATATACCCCAACAACTTTGGATTCAGATGTTGGATACTTTGAATTAGTCATAAAGGTTTGTTTTCTTTTTAAAATTTCTCATGAATCACTTATCCTGCTTGGCCTATGTTGTATGGTTTGATAACTTTTTAAATTTTTTTTATCGTATGGGTAGATGTATCCACAAGGAAGGATGTCTCACCACTTCCAAATGATGCGCGAAGGTGATTATCTAGCTGTGAAAGGACCTAAGGTAATCTTTTCCTATCAATTAAGAGTCCATATCAACTAAAAAGGAACAAAGAAGACAAAGCTATAGAACAAATAAAAAAGCATTAAAACCCATTCGTTGAACAGCATTTTCAGTCTTCCATATCACCCCAGGATAATCAGGATGCAGTTTAGGACCAAGGTTAAAGACTCTACGTAAAAAATACAGAATTTTCTACGAAAGTTTGAATCATTCACAACGTTAACTAGTACCTCCCTTCAAGTTAGTCCTCCAGACTTTCTACACTTAAGCTAGGAGCTTCTAATCCCCTCCAAATAGATTAACAGGTCTATGGAACTTAACATTCTACATGTTCCCTTTCACCCTTTGATTGGAATTACTGCAATTTTTGAAGCATTCAAAGTCAATCTACTTTCAAAATCTCGGGTGTAGAGAAACCACAAAATGTGTTTATGATACTATCTCTCATTGGTTCAGAAAGACACCACAATTGATCTATGAGTACTGGCGGAGTACTGTCATTCAGTTCTCTCTAGGACTAATACCTCATTTTCGAAAGATCTTTCAGACAATGCACTATCTACATTAATTGAAGCGATGTAAATGCTTTTCCATATAATCATGCTTCCAGGGACGATTCAAGTATCAACCTAACCAAGTTAGAGCTTTTGGGATGCTAGCTGGAGGCACTGGCATCACTCCGATGTTCCAGGTACATAATTGAGTTAGTCTGAGCATTACACAAGGTACTTTTCTTCTGTTTTCTGCACACGTCATTTGGGATGGTATAATTGTTTTTATTTGTCTTTCTGGTTTCTCAGGTTGCTAGAGCCATATTGGAAAATCCCAGTGACAGAACAAATGTACATCTTATATACGCCAACGTCACATACGAGGACATCCTATTGAAAGTAAACTCTCTCTCTCTCTCTGTGTGCGCTCCATTTTCCCATTCGTTCAATACTTACCCATATCCAGTATGTATTCATATCTATATATCCCATACATATAAGGTAATCTTCTTTTTACCAATGCTTTCAAGAAGTTCAGTTGTAAAAGTTGAGCCTTGGGGCAAAATTTTCTTGTAAATCCTATTCTATAAGTTTGGACACATATCAGGCAGTCCTTGTCTCCCTTTCAGCTTAATTTGGGAATAAAGGTTCCTCACAAGGTAAATATTTTGGCTTGGTTGGCGGTACATGGGAAGGTTGACAGCTGAGATTGACTCCACGAAAGCCAGTTTCCTGTTTTTGCTCATGTTGGTGTATTTTATGCAAAAGATCAGGGGAGAGCGTGGATCACGTTTTTTCTTTTCTTGCCCATTTAGCTGAAAGCTGTGATGCTTTATATTTAATGAGGTTAATGTTTGTTGGTTGGCCCCAAAAAACGCTTTTGGTTTGTCGAGTGAGAAGTTTAAAGTATCAAGTGGCGGAGTAAGGGCAAATTAATATGGGTCGCCATGGTGGCCATGAGTTGGGTTATGTGGTTAGAAAGGAATCAATAGGTCTTTAAAGATGTCGGGGGGATGGAAATTGAGGTGTGGGACAAGGTCAAGTTCTGGGCAGTGCTTTGGTTTCTGTCTCTCTTACCTTTAGGAGCACATCTCTGTCCGATATTATTGAAGATGGAAAAGTCTGCAGTGTCATGATTAATTTTGGTTTCGTAATCTAGATGTAGTTGTTTGTGTCAATGCTCTTCTCTTTTTCTTTTGATGGATCACTTGTCCAATTTACCGTACTGTTTCTCTTATGAAGGCATTGCTGGCATAACGTCATTGACGACTTCATATATCTTTAATTATTTGACAGACTTGCTGAATATTGATGTTTTATTATGGTTAATTGCCTGGCTTACAATCCGTAAAACTGGGAGGTTTTGCCAATTGTCTTAACTTTATATAATTTGTCTATGCAGGAAGAGCTGGACAATCTTTCCAGTAACTTTCCCAATCGTTTCAACATTTATTATGTTTTGAATCAGGTATCTTTAATTTGGTTTTGAAGCCACTCTTATGTCTGTAAACTTCCAATTTGACGAGTTGCTTTCTCTCTGCGTTTCACAACATCATTACATATGCTACATTACACTGCGAACGAAACATTGTCAACTTAGTGTCAAGCTCGGGGTAATCCAGTTAAAGTTTGTGGCAAAGGCTTTAGGTATACCAGAAAGTTTGAAATCACATAAGGGTGCCTCATGAACTTTTCCACAAAATTTATTTCCAAAGTTGAATACAAATTCTTTTACCGGGGGGATTTCTTCCTTTCAGAATATCTTGTAAAAGATGAATAACTTACAACATTGCGTTGTTATATTTTCAGTATACGATTCGTGTTTGTTTGATATGTTTGATTGTCTATTGGTCACATTTCTGTCTAACAAATTGATGCTCAGAATTTTGTAGTGTGTACAACAGTGTGGCATTCTGAATTTTCTCGTTTTGAACATGATGAATGTCGTTTCAGAAACTTGCTTTGCTTATATTCTCTATTCATTTCTAATAATGAATGTTAAATACTATCTTCAGCCCCCTGAACAATGGGAAGGTGGTGTTGGATTCATATCAAAAGAAATTATTCAATCTTACTGCCCGGCGCCAGCACCGGATATTAAGGTAACTTATCCCTCTCTCTCTCTCTCTCTCAAATTCCAAACCTTCTTTCTTTCTAATTCGAAACCTTGGTGTTTCCAGATTTTGCGATGCGGACCACCACCGATGAACAAGGCTATGGCTGCTAACCTCGCGAGTCTGGGATACAGTCCAGAAATGCAGTTCCAGTTTTAGGTCATTCATGGAGCTTTTGTGATGATCTCCGGCGGGGTTTCCTATCTCTAGCAATAAAATAAATAAGGAGCATGTTTGTTCAGGATTACCATTATTTATTTGTCCTCGGACACCCAAAATTTGCTTCATAACTTGTTTTGGCATTAACCACAGAAATGCCTTCGCTCTTTTCTTTTATATGGATGGAACTCCTTAACATTGATTCCAAGTAGAAAAAGTAAAAAAACTATTCAATCAGCTTCTAACAAAGTGCTTCTTTAGGAAGCGCTTGCTGCATTTTTAGAAAGCACTGGAATTTTTGGTAAATTATCAATCGTGACCTAAATTCTCAAAAAGTTATTTTAATGTCCTTATCGTCCCTATTGAAAACAAAAAATTAGAGACGAGTTCAGGATGCTTTTAAACAGGGCAAAGTGCATTTTACACCAAGGTTTGGGGGTGCATATCGAAATGGGCCACGACCTTCCCGATTTTGTCAATTTATACCCCTAAAACATTGGGAAATTTTTGGAAATCGGTCAATTTAGGGGTCACCTATTGAAATATAACCTACATTTTCTAACGTTTACAAAACTAACCAAAATTGAAAACACATTGCCAAACACTGATTCTAAATTAACAAATAAATTATCCATCTACAAAATGTTTAATACTTTTGCACTTTGATACTAAACAATGCCTAAATCCGCAGACGTGAGAATAGCCAAATTGGCTAAACAAATGTGCGCCCCTCTATGCAACCAAGTTCGAATCCTGTCTTACAGTTCAGATTAATTTAAGATACGTCTCTGGTAAAAACATAATTAAAAAAATTAAAAGGCCCCGAGAGGGGGCGGAGAGAGCGAATAGACATGAAAGTTGGTTCAAACAAGAGATACAACGTCGACTACTTAGCACATCTGACTTTGACACAAAATGCTTCCAGAGTTTTTGAGAACCTTCTCAAATCTATCGTCTTCGCATCCCGCGCCCACGACCGCCTCCACGACCTCGACCTCCCATGGCACTTGCAGCAGCTTCTCCCTGTGCACTCTCGGACTGCATTACCACCATATCAACAGTTAGCTACCTGATATCTAAAAAAACTCTACAATTATGATTAGGAGGAACGTCCAAATAGACTACTTTCCAGGAGATATGAAAGTGAGGTAGGCACAATCATAGAAATAGAAAACAGAAATCACATTACCTTTGGGTTTTTTACTGTCTCGTCGACACTTAAAACAAGGCAAGCAGCCTCAGTAGCAGCATTTATAGCATTGATCTACAGGAAATGATACGGTGTTATGTTGTTAAAAACTAATAAATCACTAACTCGTGTGTGATACATCTACGCAGTTAGAAAGATAACAGGATACCTTCACAACAGCTGGCTCCCAGACAAAGTTAGCAAATGAATCAGCAATTCCACCTGTGTTGATGTCAACTCCATAAAGTGCACCCTCGCCTGTTAAAAAGTTTAAATCGTTCAGCAAACAAATATAATTAATCACTAATCAAAAGCCAAATACTAGAATAACCATCCAACACATTACATCTTTGCAGTCAACAGAGTAATCTTGCCTTCAATAAATAGAAGAAATGAACGTTTGTTTTGGCTCCAACGCATGAGTTGTGACTTACAAACAAAATAATGAAATAAATAGATAAACAAGGTCAAATAAAGTGAGAACCCAACCAGATGGATGCGCGTGTTTCTGTCTAAGTTTGTTTAGCACATCAGTTGCATCAAATCCCGCATTATCACAGAGCTGCCGTGGGATAACCTGCAACATAAGTGGAACACTGCTGATTAAGACAACAATTACGCTTCATTCAAAGTACATTTGCAGTAGAAAGAAAGTGTTTATTTTTTTCCATCTTAAGAAAGCCTTCGGACTTTATAGTCCTAGCACAAAAAACATTAACGTATCATGCTCATGGTCTCCATCAAGACCACAACAAATGAACTTAGAAGTTAGAACTGAGAGTTCCACAAGAACTCAACAAACACATTCCTCGACCCATAAAGTCAAAACTAGATGATTTGCACAGGAATTATATCCCAAACATGCAGCTTATCTAGATATCATAATAATGTTGTTACTCAAGACAAACAAAAATTTTATTTAAATAGTAAAACTAATATCAAGAGTGGTTAGATATCATGACAAATAAATGCCACAAAGAGTACTACAGTCTTCTTTGTTTTTTGTTTATAAGAAACAGAACTATTATTCAGAGATAACACAATGAATACGATAAGCATCGACCGGTAGTCCATGAAACACCTAAGCCAACAGAAAAAACACGTTAACCCTATCTTACTACACTCTACATAAGGGAAGCAGTACTAACCTTAGGTGCTTGAGGCAATAGTTACCCCAGCTACATTGAAGTACTAAAACAGTTCAACTCCTCACAAAGCCCAACCAAGCGAACATATTAAAAACCTAGAGCTCTATTGGCTATGATGACAGTTCATTCTGGCATTGTGTCTCAGTTGAAATTCACGAGAACAGCTTCAGTAAGTAAAAATCCATAAACTGGTAAACTAAAAGAATAGACCCTGTTGACCATGGAAAAACTAAAAGTATAAACCTTAAGTTTTTACAATTAATCTCTAGCACCTTAATACCGCAAAAAGCGCACACAACTTGCTGCCGATGTGCAACTTCGAAACAAGTTCCAATGACTACAATTGAGAAGTGAACTGAAATCCTTGGATCAAAGCAAAAACTAAATTATTAAACATAGAATCCAGTATTTTCCAAGATTATATGTTAATTCCAAAAGTTTCAAACTAAATATTAATTTGGAAACAGTGCATGAGTAAGTTCATCTATTCCATATCAATGAGTTAGAAAACAGAAGTAGATACATATTACATAGAGATTTATTAGGGACCTTAAAATTCTTAACGGTGAGCAGTTTAAGTATTGGCACTGGTTTAAGCCACTACAGCATAACATAAAAGCCCAACAAAGCATACCTCAAGAGCTTTTGCATAAGAGTTAATGAAAAACTGAGACTTCCCCCTAATTTCATGTGCTTTCTGCCGCAAGTACCGGCTGATTTCCATCTGCCATCAAATTAACAAAACAATCATAAGGGCCTGCAATATTTCTCAGATACTGTGAGATCTCACTAATGCTAAGACACGCATACATCTATAGCACCACCACCAGCAACTACAGTTGAATTCTTTAGCGCTCTTCTGACAATCATAATAGCATCATGTAAACTTCGCTCAGCTTCCTCAATGAACTAAATAAGAATCCCAGGGAATAATGGAGGTCAGAATTGAAAAAACAAAACTTCAAAAAAGAAAACAAGAAAACAGGAAACAAAGAGTTCTTATGAACATGTGCCAAATTAAAAATTAACTTCAACAAATGGCATACCTGATCAGCTCCACCACGAAGAACAATTGTAGCTGTCCTACCTGACGGACATCCACTAAATATATTAAACCTCTCATTTCCAACTTGCCTTTCCTCAAAACACTCGCACGTTCCAAGGACCTAGAAATCAACAAACCTAAACAGTTTCAGTTGACTGAGAACAAGCGAGATGCTTCCCAACTCAAGAAGGGCACTAACATAACTCTAGGAAAAAATGCCCACAATTCTACATAAAATAGTCTGAAAGAGCATGAGATAGGAACCTCATCAATAACATTGTTGATGGATGTTTGCACAGTCCCACCAGTGGCAGCAGCTACCCGGTGCAGATCTTCTTCAGTTACACGTCCAGCACAGAATATATCTCTATCTGCAAAATACTGTTCACAGAAAGAAAAGAAAAAAAATTGTCAATAAAACTCTACATCTTTAACATGGTCACAAAGATTCCTTACTATCAGGATGATATAAATTATTACATGCATATCAAGTTATCAATCCACCTATTTTATAAAAATTGAAACCATGAAACTTCATAATATCACTGATTTTTACCTGTGTTGTTCTACCGGGTTCAAAATCAAACCACCAAATTTCATGCGTACTAGGACAACTCAGAGCTAAACATAGATTTGTATTTTCCAGCGGTGATAAAATGAAGATTGTGTTGTCATCTTGTGAAAAGGTTAAAATTGTATAACCTGGAATAAAACTTAATTGAGGGGAAAATTGCCTTTTTGCCTGATCAGACAAAACGCTCTCAATTTCTATCATAATTTGAAATATCGCACAAGATTGCGCAATATAATGCGAGATATCACATCACAGGCGGTATCTTGCGACATATCCTAAAAATATCACGGTATACTCCAAATATCGTGAATCTGTATGAGATATGATACGAAACGGGCGATGAATTTTCATATCCCAGTGCTTTTTCTTTTCAATTTTTTCCAGCAGCCTTCATGGTCCATCAAGTTTCACACCTCTTCCTCCATCACCCTCCGATTTTGACAGCCTTTCAGCCAAACCAGATGACTTTTTTATTTTGTTTGGGTTTTGTGATGATCTTCATTAGTTATCCTTCTAGTTTGTACCAAATGGGTTTTGTGAAATAAGTGTGTTGATGCTTTTATAGCATTGGAATATAAGATCATCATTATGTTACGAATATTTGGTCCTTTTTTTTAGTTTATGGTGTTCTTGAACTTGAACTATGTCTTTAGTTCTATATTATACATGAATGTGAAAATGTTGTTGAATTGTGTTTTGGTGAAAGTATGTATATATTTTTTTTCATTAGTATTATTCTCTACGCAAGTCTCGAATAGCTTACGCATCACCACTACATAGTGTGAGACTGCGTAGCAGTAGCCCCTACGTAACACGATTTCAAACTTTGATTTTTATACACTTCTTTGCATTACCGAAATCATGAAAACAGATTTTGTGCAGAATTTACCTAACAAATTAAAATAATCAGACAAAACTTTACCAATTCTCTTTGAATTGGGATCTTTTACCAAACAAAATAAAGCAATCAAGTGGATAACAAGTTTTGAACTCATTTAGCAAGGATAAAATTTCCACCTGTGTTGCTAGATCGCCTATGGCCAGCCGTGAAAGAACAACCCTGGCCCCACTCTGCACACACTTATCCAACTTGTCATAAATAATATTCCATTCTGCATCAACAATGGACTGATACTGGGATGGATCTGACAACCTGCAGAGGAAAGAACCTCAAGTGGCATAAACAAATTGTAATAGAATTCAACTATAATATATCAAAAGGAAACAAAGAATCCTACCTTATCTCAGCATTTTCTTTCTCAGATTTCAGTTCCAATTCAATGTTCAGTAGAAGTATTTTGGGATTAAGAAACTTCTTTGGCTGTTGTTCAAATCCAGCATATGAAAATGTCTTCTTGAAGGCAACACCATTTACTAAAAAGGAGTCACGCATGTTGCCCCCAGAAACCTGTAAAGCAACCAGTTTCTCATTACACATCATTCAATTCAAGCTATCATGTCCTGCCAAAACTAGTTGTTCACTACTAAGCATTCTTTTACTACAATGAAAACAACCAAGAAATATCAATACCCACAAAAATTCTTTTTCCAAAAAAAAATCAAAACATAGTGCCAGAGTCTAAATCAAAAGGCAGATAACACAGAAAAGGAAAAGGAGACTTTGAAGACCCCAAAAAAAAAAAAAAAAAAAAAAAAAAAAAAAAAAAAAACGATAATGTAATTTTTGTTGAGATAAAAACATGGTGTAATGAATGTAAAACAACCACAACACACCAGTATGGAACTCTTTTATCATAAACAGTAATCAAAATTCAAATGTCCCAAAATTTAATTAAAATACGTACTTTTTTTTTGCGATAAAAACTAAATATAGGTGATACATGATTTGGGTTCTTTTATTGAACTTAATGCTCATTTGAAGAAGATGATATATAAATCCAACAAGTTAAATCTTTTAGGGTGAGTTAGGGAGGATTGGCTGGGATAAAATAGCTCAACAGATTCAACGCATCTTCAATAAAAAATGGATGACAACTTCCCAATTCTCTGTCCAGGTTGAAGGTAAAAGATGGATTACTCATAAAGGAAAGTTGTCCCTTCTAATCCCAATAAATAATAGTAGGATTAGAAGGGACAACTTTCCTTCATGCCTACCATCTACCTTCGGCTTGGACAAAATTTGGAAGTATTCATCCATTTTTCCGTACAATATGCCTTGAAACTAAACTAGTGAGTTATCCTATCCAAGTTAATCCTGTAACCTCTTTAACTTACCTATATCCCACACCCTCATCTCTCAATCCTTAAGTTTCCATCCCCAACCCCACCCCTACCCCTATCTCTTTCTCCCTCTTTTTTAACTCTATATACTCATCCCATTGCCAACCCATCTCTCCCTCCCTCTAATCGTGTACCTTAGCACCAGCCCTCTCTCACAGCACCAGGATGTACCTCCCCAACCTCCTTCGCTGTTGTTGTACCCTCATGGTGTCCTTAACAGTTAGTTTTCATAAACTCATGGAGAAAAACAGTTAACAGCTCTGCCCCGTCACCAGAAAACATTAGTAAAAAATTCAGAATCAGAATCCAAGTCTCAATGCACATTTTGTTGGTTATTTTACTTGCAATTTTAAATGCATACTATTCATCATCATCAGCAATGACATCCAAATCAACCATAGCTTATAGTGAGAACAAGTCAGACTTCCTACACTTTAGGACAAATTCAGATTCACCCCGGTTGTGCTTCTAGGTGTTATCCACAATTTGGTTTACCCGTTGTCAAATCGTTTCAATATTTCAATCATATAAAATGCATAGTACATGGGACTTCTAAGCATTAAATATCTATTTTAAAATCATGAGGCCTCTCGACCCCATAGCCAATTTGTTTTGGGTTGAAATACTCCCGACTTTAGCATGACAATAGAGCAGTTATTAATCCACATATCTTGTCGCGGCCACATGTTCTTCATCTCATCAGAAATAATTAGCCCATGTTTCTGTCTCAATCTAGGCACATCCGAGGGCTCAAATCACAGCAAACAAGGGCCCGGAACAAACTTAAACGAATATCCTAGTAGTTCATGGAACATGTCTTATTTTGTTCATTTCAATGAATGCAGTCTATTGAAATGCAGTCAGAAGTCTAAAGCCACTGGAAAACTCTTATTAACACAGTTGGCGGATTACAAAGAGATATTTAATATAGGCAAAGGATACCATTCAAATTGAGGTCTTCCTAAAATCTATTTTAGGAACTTACCTTCTTTATTCCAATCATGTTGAGACGATCTTCATCACCAATCGCAATGACAGCATCCACGACCATTGATGCAAAAAATTCCTTTTCTCCACCAATAAGTTTTGAAGATAGTGTTGTAGCCGCACATTTAGCTAGCAGGTTTTTCTTCTCTTCAAGGCTTTTGCCCTCTATGCTTACAGCAAGTTCTTTGATTTTCTCAATTGCCTATACACAATGTATAGTATTTAAGATACATAAACATCTCAATCATACAGAGATTATTTTATAAGAATCAGACGTAATAATTGAAAATTTAATTCCTATCACATACCAAATAGCTAGCAGTACGATAACTTTTTATCAAGCTTTGTGGGTGCACCCCATCCTCAATGAAAGGCTTGGCCTCCTTCAGAAACTCCCCTGCAAGCAGAACAACTGTTGTGGTTCCATCACCAACCTGCACCGGAAACAAAAACGGTTAAAAATCTTCTAAACCATGTAATAAGGAAAGGTTTTATCACCACTTATAACAGAGGATACCGCAGTATACCAAGTCGGTTGTCAGATTTGCCATTCCTTTTTTAGTTTTTTATTTTTCATTTTTGGCCAGGAAGCTTATTCCTAACAGAAATTTTTTCGAAGCTACAAGGCCACCCACCCGCTTTCAACACTACATATGCTGGAAAAAAATATAATTGAAGTAGGCATTCCATCTGCATTACTCCCAAACTTTCACTAGTACTGATTCGGCGATTCCATAGCATAAGCGTAATTCTTGAGCTTGTAATTAAGTAAAATAGAATTCGGATAACATCCAAAACCCATACCTCAGAATCCTGAGACTTGGCGATGTCGACAAGGATCTTGGCAGCGGGGTGAACAATATCGAGCAACTTCATGATGGTGGCGCCATCATTGGAAATAGTAACGCTGCCCTTGTCGTCGTGAATGAGCTTGTCCATGCCCCTAGGGCCCAGCGTGGTCCTCACCACATCGGCCACCGCCGTGCAGGCGTTTATATTGCTCACCAGCTGCGCCTTCCCTTGCGACGTATCCGTACCCTCCTTCAACAGTATGATCTGTGGTTGCTGTTTTCGATTTCAATTTTTCCGGTTCGGGCATTTTCACAAACAGTTAGCAAGCACAACACAAAACAGTAGCTCATACGCAAAGAAAATGAAAGACACTGAGCGTACCAGCATGGATGACATCGTTGCCGATGCGGATGTTACGGCGGACAACGGAGGGAGCGACGGAGGAGGGAAGAGAGGGAAGAGAGAGAGAGAGAGTGTGTGTGTGTGTGAAGGAGTGGTGTTGGAAACAGAGAGCTAGGGTTTATACTCAAAAGTGAGTTTCGCTGGCCCTTTCTAGGTTTTTTCTATTCTAAAATGACCTGGATCCCCTTTGCCCACAAACAAAATTATAAAAATAAAAAAACCTGGATCCTCTCAATCCTTGTTCCTAATTGTCCTTTAGTTTAATTCCGATCATGGTGTGTTTGTTGTACTGGATTATCTCGAACTGGATTAGTTTCAGGGACTAAGTTGAACTGGCTTAGACTAGACTAAGCTCGACTAGCTTAGTGAAGCGTTTGGTGCAGTGTCGGATTAAGAAGCTAAACTAACAATAAATTATGGAAATTGTTATTAGCACTCCAAAAATCTTATTATATACTTCAAACTTTCTATATTAGGAAAGAAAAATACACCTATGAGGAATGTAGATTGAGATTTATTTTAATTTATATTCTGTTAAAAATAAAAGACAATTATGAAAACCTCCAATTGAATTCGTGAAATTCCAAGCTAACGATCAATGCTCATTTCACAAACCCAGATCACACTACTAATCAAGACAACCGAGATTCTCAAATTAATTAAGACTTCAAAAACCCATCTCAAACCTTCATCACTGACCTCTCGATCCCTAAAAACCCCCAACCTTCATTGCTAACCTCTCAATACGCTTCTCGGGTGTACCGTCCAGTGACAGTAGGTCGTTATCGACACACTGATTTTGGTCGTATCATCTACCGACAACAACGATTTGGATAGTAACCTCTTAATCTGCATAGCGCACAGAAGAAGAAGGCGAAGTACTGCACCTTTTTCTTTCCTCAATTTTTGTTCTTCCTTCACAAATATTCTATAAAATTCCATGGAAATTGTTTGCTTGCCTTCTGGATGGTTGAATGCTTTTGAAGGTTGGATTGGGTACTTGGGTGGTGCAGCGACCCATGGCTTGGCCATGGTGACAGTGTCGTAGAAGAAGTGGAGCGCAGAGGGATTGGAGTGAAAGTTGGGGATTGGGGATGTTGGCCTCATTTCCTTTCTAGTCCGCCTTAACACCAAGGGAAAGCTTGGGATTAGATAGCGAGGGTTAGCGAAGCGCGGAAGGACCTTAGTCGGGGCGAGTCTCATTTATTTTAGTGCAAGAACCTACCAAACGCAGGATTATAGTCTTATTTAAGCTAGTCCAAGTCGGTCCCTCCTAAGGAGGTGTAACAAATGCCCCCTAAGGGAATTGGATCATCTCCGAGACAAATCATCGGGATCTTCCTAACCCAATAACATGAGCTGTTGGATTTGATCTAACGGCTATAAACAGGATGACTCCTCTAAAGTTATAATAATTGTAGCCGTTTAATTAAAATCCAACCGTCCGTGTTAATGGGTTAGGAGGATCTTGAGGCTTTGCCACGGAGTGGATCCAATTCCTCCATTACAATCTAAATATGCCACTTCAGCTTACTGAAGATTTTTTAATAAAAAAAATGAGGTGATTTTGAAGGGAAAAATGATGGGATCCTGTGGTCGTGATCGTTCATTGTATATCGTGCAATCAGTTTTCGTTAGGTGCTATTTATATTGAATTTTAAATATTAAATTTTAAAATGATTTCTGATAGTAAAATATAAGATGAACGGTCACAATCAAGGAATCCCTAGAATTCCCAAGAAAATGATCCGATTTTGTTCCGAAATGTTCCGAAATCATTCGGATTTGAATGAATTCGAATTACTCCATTGCTATTTCGAAAAAAATTTACTTTTATCGAAAGTTGGGGTAGGGTGACATTGTAGTTTAGCTACAGTGCAATTTCAATTGGGAATTTGAATTAATTTACGAAATTGTCATTCATTAAAAAATCGTCGAGGGCCGTTTCGAAGTCCAAGGATTTCCTGGGTGGCTGATGAGGATGGCCCGCTTTGGTGTTTGAAAAACCGATGTGCCCATCTAGGTTTTAGATCGCATGGCTCGGTGTAAAAGTTGGATTGGTAGTTTTGTCAATTTTAACTTTGGCAAGAGTTAGGGTTCGTGGGTTAGATGGAGGGCTTGCAGATTAGGGTTTCGTGAGGGTGGCTATTACAGAGAGAAAGGGGTCGTGAGGCTTAGAGAATAAGGGTGGATTAGGTTTCAATCGGTTCGGTTTTCTAACAAAACCGAAAACCGAGTAGAAAATTTGGTTTGGTTTGATTTTAATTTTTTTTCAGTTTTGTATGGTTCAATTTAACTTCAGTTCAGTTTTTATCGGTTTGGTTTTATTTTTATTTTATATAAACTTTTTTTTTAATATCTAAAAATCCGTGAGCAGCTGATGAGGGAAGGGACTTAAGAGCTCTAAAAATTCTCATATGCAACAATACAATGAGGTGAAGCCCTCTAATTTAAGAAGGGTTATTGCCACAGTGTCATGATATTGATTGTTGACTAAAAAAGATGAATCTAGGGGGAGAGCTAGTCCAAAAAGCCAAGATTGTTATACAACTTGGGAAGTCAGAAAACTTTGACGATTGATGGCCGCTGCAGCCAAGGCCCGAGGAGAAGGAAATTGCAAGTACTAGGCAGAAAAGCTGGAAAAAAATTCTTTGTTTGGGGCTTTTCTTACAGTGTGGGAAGAAATTGGGCTTGGAGCATGCTTTAACATATTTGGGTCTCAAATTAAGTTAATAATTGACTTGAAATTGGGTTAGAAAATAAATACCTAACCTAAATAAATAAATAAAATTAATGTATATTTATATCTGTTTCGGTTTCTAAACCACCAAAACCCAAACTGAACCAAAAGATTTTGGTTTGGTTCGGTTCGGTTTCTTTAAATCAATTCATTTTTTTTCGTTTCGGTTTCTTTTGATGTTCGGTTTCTTTTTTCGGTTTTCAGTTTTTTGAACCCACCCCTATTAAAGAGATAGAGACAAAGAGAGGAGTGGACATGTTGAACAGGGACAAGTCAGGGCGTTTGTACGGGGTCTTTGATTGGGTCAATGGAAAAGGGACGAGTAAGGTCGATGTATGCACGATTTCCTCATCCTTTGTCCACAGTATGTTTGCATGTTGTGATTTTATGCGAGATTTTCTCATCCTTGATCCATCCTATGTATGCATCTAATGATTGACAAGATAAGAAATTGTTTTATTATCTGTTATTTACTGTTTGGTTAGGTTTCAACCCATTGTTTGCGATTTTGTAATGAATTAGGGGCTTTCGAGAGTGCTTTTTGTGTTCTCTTTCTGTTGCTACTTTAAAGACCTGCCTATTCTCATTTTCATTTTCTAGGTTCGGTTTTGCTACCCTTTGCGTTTTTCTCTTCGAAGGTGGGTTGTCTCCTTCGGTGGTACAATTTGCGTTTTGTTGTTCGATTAAGTTTAAAGTCATGCTTTTGTTTTTTTTTTTTTTAATGAAATAGGGTATTTAGAGAGTGTTATTTGTGTTCTCTTTCTTTTGCTACTTTAGAGACTTGCATGTTGTCATTTTGTTCTTTTTGGTTCGGTTCTACTATTCTGTGCGTTTTCCTTGTCTTTGATTGAATTGAGGAAGGGAAATTTGCTTGGCTTATTCATTCAATTTAATATTCTCTTGAAGTTGTTCTCGAATTTTCATTTCCCAAAAATAAATTGTTTTTATTGTTTCGTTTTTGTGTTTATATATTTAGAGTGGCATGTAGTGGTTTGCTTCTAGTGATCTTTGATTTGAGCTAATAGGGTCTCTATTTTGTGGGGTTTTGGTTTCTAGGTGAAGGAAAATATTTGATAAACTAAGTTCATTGAGCAACATAATACATGCATTTAACAATTAAATGACGGAAGCATGCTTGTATGTACTCTAAAACAAAACTTATACCATGAAATTCAAAGTCTAGTGGCGATGGTGAGCCAAGACTCTATTGTAAAAATAAGGGTCTAAATCACATAGAAAATCAAGAAATAATTCATGCAATTATAAATCAAAGTAATGTATGCACATGAGTAACCAATGTTAAATAAACATAACATAATAGATTAAAAAAACCTGAAAATACGATCGAGGTAAGTGTTGGACACTTTGTCCTTAAAATAAGTTTACGCACCACTACAGTGCTCATGGTTGATCTGAGTTTGTCTCCCAAGATACAACAACCATGTCCTTGTAATAACAGCACTCCAAATCATAAGGCTCCATGAACCACGATTGTGTTGAAAACTCTCTTATATGGACTCAATGAAACTCTCTAATATTTAATGTACTTTATGTACGATTATGTAAAACAATGAAAAGTTATTTATGATTATAGGGGGCTTCCTTATTTATAGAATTTGAGATACCTCTTTGAAAAGTATGTGACCATTCATGAAGAGTCAAAAGTTGCAACTCTTCATTATGATAGACACATATTTCCACCAAAAGGCATCACTGATAATTTTTTGTTCAATTGATAATAATAATAATAATATTCCAACATACTCAACTTAAACAATAAAGTGAGTTGGGGAAACATTATACTTTTTAAGCACTTCTTTGCTTGGCAAAGGGTGATTATGTCAGGGCCTTCTTTCCTTTGCCTCCTTACTCTTTGGCTCTATGTGTAACATCCCACATAGCCCAGGAGAGTAGATTATGTAAGCCTTATATGTATATTCTCATCTATACCTAGCACGAGGCATTTTGGGAGCTCACTAGCATCGGGTTCCATTGGAACTCCGAAGTTAAGCGAGTTTGCGCGAGAGCAATCCCAAGATGGGTGACCTACTCAGAAGTTATCGTGTGAGTTCCAAGAAACAAAATCGTGAGGGCGTGGTTGAGGCCCAAAGCAGAAAATATCGTGCTACGGTGGAATCGAGCCTGGGATGTGGTGGGGGCCCGGGCCGGGATATGATAATTTGGTCTCAGAGCCAATCCCTGGCCGGATGTGTGCCGACGAGGATGTTGGGCCCCTAAGGGGTTAGATTGTAACATTCCACATCACCCAGGGAAGTGGATCTTGTAAGCCTTATATGTATATTCTCATCTCTACCTAGCACAAGGCCTTTTGGGAGCTCACTAGCTTTGGGTTCCATTGGAATCCGAAGTTAAGCGAGTTCGCACGAGAGCAATCCCAGGATGGGTGACCCACTAGGAAGTTCTTGTGTGAGTTCCCGAAAATAAAACCGTAAGGTCATGGTCGAGGCCCAAAGCGGAAAATATCATGCTACGGTAGAGTCGAGCTCGGGATGTGGTGGGGGCCCGAGCCGGAATGTGACACCATGGATATGGATGGCAGAACTTTACTTCAAGGAAGTGGCAAACTTGTAATAAGTCCACCATCACAAGCCCTCCCTCCCTCTATGGCTAGCCATTGGGTTTTGTTTGGGTAAATCCTCATTTTGTTTTAGTTATCATACAACTCAAACTCAATAAGGGCTTGTGGACCAAAACCTGCGAAACCTGAAACTTACTTAAAGCCTGTTACGAACCTTTGTATGATTAATTAACATATTAACTAATACTTGTCATATACAATTAAACTATTTAATTGTCCTTACTCATCTCTGTTATATCTTTCAATCATTATCTTATACGGTGTGTGATCCATTAGGTTCCTTTTAGCGAGGCAATGGGCGATTAGAACTAATACTAATCAATTGTGAATTGAAACTTACTTTCAATTCTCCCTTTAGTGATTATACATCTTTAGGGCTTCCACAAACCATGAGTGAAACCTAATAGCATGTCATGGCTACCCAATCTAATCAGAAGAGGTTGGAGAACCCTTTCAGTTTGGTATTACAAATGCAATACAATCTTTCTCTAATTCAATACTCTTGAATATATTGTTTGGTTTGATAGTTTATTGATGTCTGTTATTCAATGTGATTCTCTTATATGATTACCTTGAAAGTGATTTGGAACGACGTCCTAAATTTCATTCATATTCTAGCCAGAGATTCTTAATCCTATCATAGAGTATTCTCCTTCAATTGTTTCAAGGTTAGAGATCCCTTGTTGCACATTCACATGCCCCCATGATTAAATAGTTTAGCCCCAACTATGACGTGGACACTCTAAAATGGAATGCTTTTAACATAATCAAAGACTAAGGACCCAACCACAAGACAATTATGATGTCTCAAGTCATATGACTACTTCGCCTTATCCCAACTAGGAGTTCTCATGTCACATGTGTATGAGAATTCCTCGTTGATAATAGCATCAACCTTTGTAACAATCAAGACTGATAAGACTGTCAGTCCATTAAGTTGTCCATGTAGCAGTAGATTCGCATTCAATGGACTCACTCTCTATTAAGCACCTACATACTTATCTTGGTGTCACTTACATCAATGAGTCAATACTAGTCACTCCCTTGGAGAGAAGACATAGCGTATACTGATCTATATGGATCCTCAATGCCTAATTGACAATCATATTATCAGGAATGTTTAGGATATGTGTACGAAAAAGAATAGTCTCATGAATCTAACTTCTTTAGATCACATTCTCCTAATTACATATTATATGGACTTATCGCATATAGTTGTTAATTTGGGTTATGTTTGTCCATATTTTTTTGTGTTTGTGGTGCTTTCTATTGAAGCCTGGGTTTGTGTTGTGTTGCCCCAGTGATTTGACGTATTTTAAAATTGGTTAGTTTATGAGTATTTAATCAACAAATCATTGTGATTGGCATGTTGTTTGTTTGTTCATGTTGTATTGTGGCTGCATAGTTGAAGATGTCTAAGTGGGCTGCCAAAATTGAGTGGCCAATTTCGCAATCTTTGTCGACTGTGTTAATGTATTATGTGTGGGTTTTCTTTTACATTTGGGGTTCTAATGAGGCGTAGCTTGAACTTATGTTTTTGTACTTTTCTTAATGTAATCTCATGATCAGAACTCCAAAAGTGTCTTCCAATTAGTCGTTCTCATGCTTTGCGCAATAAGATGAAAATGTTTGCGTATTTATGTAGATACTGCGTGCAGAGGCGTCATTTGGTTGTTGAGTCGGCTATGTAAATTGTAGTGTTTATTTTGGTTTCATATTTGATCTACCCTTGTTTAAATGAATCCTAATTGCAAAACCCAAAATTCTTTTCATTCTTTTCGGTCGTGTGCAAATGTATTCTTATTGTCGACCAAATTTAAACTTGTCGATGAATTTGTACTAGTTGTTGAGGATTAATTCCACGATATCAATTTTATCATCGTGATAGTACAAATTAATTCACAAAGCAAATTACATAATTCATCACGGAATTATGTTTGCTGCAGTGCAGCCAGATGCAGAGATGCTGAGCAGTAAAAAATGCAGCTTTCTTTAAATCAAGTCCAATTTCCACAGCTTTGTTTTACAAGAAACAGGTCCCAAAAATAAACATTATCACCTTATCCTGTTGAAACTTAAAAAGTTACAGACAAGATCCTCTACATCATCACTTCTCAACTACTAATACAACCACGACTTCGCACTTTCACTTTCCGCAAACATAGCTCGATAGGCCTCTAACAGATCATTTAAACAATCAGAATGCTGAGATGAACCTTTGAATCCTTGCCTGCGATCGCTCCATTTCTTCAGGTCCATCAACATCACCAATGTTTTCCTGATATTCCTGCGGTTCACATAATTATTAGTACAAGCTTAATGACCAAACCGTAAGTTTCACTATATCATTTAAAAGTGCATCTCTAATATAACTACGACTACGCCCTGAAATCAAATCACCCTACATAGTAGCTAAGGTCTAGGTAAGACGTGTTAAAGAGTAGACCAGAAGATAAGCTTGAAATGCCAATGCATATGGCACTGCTCTCCGTGTGTTTGCCAGTATGATCTCGACTCCAGGTGCAACAAATTTGTTAAATTTTATCCCCGCTGCCCAAATTGGCTAAATTTTTTTCCTGATGACAAAATTTAAATTTTCACAAAGAACCTAGTGACCTAAAAGGTTTAACCCTTTTAAGAACTAAACAGAGGGCCAGGAGAATAAAAGTATAGACCAAGTTTATAACACCTCTTCAAATTAACTCAAGACTAGGCAACCCCCACAAGTCTACGTGTAATTCAAAGGAAGAAGTAAGAATAAGAAAAATGCAGTAGCGTTTGTATATAAGCATATAAGCAATTAAATAAACTGAATATAACCCCGAGCCACTTGGTCAACCATTTCATCAACTTAATCCTTATCCATCAACCACAGTTAAAAGGTTTGATGATAATTCTATCCGTGTTGGATCTTCTTATAGGACATCTCAAACCAACTGCAATTAATAGTTTTAGCTTATTATAAGTATCTAAAACCAATTCTACTAAAAAATTCAACCATATCAATTGTTGTACTCTACTAACCGAGAACAACTTTCACACTATCAATTGTTGTACTCAAACACCCTGATACTGTTCTCAACCTTCATACAACACCACTGCCTGATGCTAATCATATGTCAGAGAAATTACTCACAAGCATTCCAAGCCACCCCTGTTACACTAAAAAATTCAACCATATCCACCAAAATCTTGCATCAAATGCTACTTTTTCTGGCACCCAAGTATCCCTCTTTCCCTCCTCTTCTCCTTTTGATGGCATACACAGCAGATCAGCACTTTTTTTTTATTTTTTTAAATGTCAATTATTTGAACTATAATTCCTACTAGAAATAACAGATACCAAACATATGTACCTGAAGTATATCCTTAATATCCTTCTTCGTCAGTTTTTGCTGCTTGAGTAGTAATTCAATTCTTGCTCTCATTTGAGGGTGCCTGCAAAACAAATAACAGGCTTGATTATATATAAAACAGCTCCACCATGAAACTGCAAGTAAGCATATACAAATTTGATGTTGAAACTTACTCAGAGCACCAAAGATGACCCAGAATAACAGCAATCAACTGCAGCATGTAAATAAGAGATTAAGATCCAAAAGGATATGAAATTTCAAAATGTAGGATATTTGGTAATAAATTGACAGATAATATCAGACAAAGCTTCTCCTCATATGCAGATTGAGGATCAAATTAGCTAAATTACATATGTGACTGATGTCTTGTACTTTAAATTTGACAGTGGCTTTACCAAAGATATAAACACCGGAATACAATTCATAGCCGCTGTGCTTTGAAACAATCCTTATACCGTAGCTATAAGAAATTTACTCTAAATTGAATCCCAAAACCCTGTACCAAGAACTTTTCCAGAAAATTAACACCTCCTCCTACTACTCTTTTAAGATAACAGACTTCAGTTTTTAGCTCCAAATATAAATAGAATTTCAAGTACAATTGAATATGGGAATTGTTATTAGCACTCCAAAAATCTCATCTTGCACTCCAAACTTTCTATAATTAGAAAGAAATATACATTTGTGAGGAGTGTAGAATGAGCCGACCCCAGGGAAAAGGCTTTGTTTTGTTGTTGTTATTTGAGGAGTGTAGAATGAGATTTTGGAGTGCTAATAAACAGCTCCCTTGAATATAACAAATAATTGTAACCTTTTTCATGGCCTGAACTTTTACAACTGTTGTTTTTCTTTTTCTAATGGTTCTCATTTACACCTTTACTGGATTTGCATCACTTAATCAGACAATTGCACATGCTTCTTTTTGTGCCCTACTCAAGACAACATTTTATTCAATTATTCTAGTTCCTTGTGGTTGAATGGGATTATAATTTGGTTGCAGTAATTCTATTCCAAAGAAAATGGAAGAAGAAAAAAAAGATGGGACTTTAATTGATAGTTTTTCCCCCTTCTCTAAGTTAAATATGATCGATGTTCGTCCTGGACAACTTCAAAGAACAACCCACACAACCCAAGTAAAAGTATGCTGAAAATTGCATAAACCATCCACGCCAATACAAACCTGAAGAGTATAAAGTCCAGATTCCAACTTCCGGTTGTATTTTTCCTCTTCATCCATCTACAAAGTATAAAAATCTCTGAGTGAAATTAATGTAATTTCATGGATATGCAGAGTAATGAGATCCAAATAAAAAAGTAACCTCTAAATCATCGAGTTCAAGCCGATCCATTCGTTCAGTTTCGGCGTTAACTCTATCTGAATATCTGAAGTATAAATCAGCACAAAAATCAAAACAATATCTCATTGAGGTGAAATGTTTATCTCTATAAAAAAATATTCTTCCATACATTTGGCGTCCTTTTTCTTTTCACATGTTTCCAAGAAATAAAGGTACAAAGAAGCACAACCCACCTCATATAAAGTTCCATAAGCCGGTCTATCTTTTCACACTCATTTTCAACAAACTTGCTTAACAATCTCTCCCTTCTAGAGCCCCTCAAAATTCCACCTGCCATGGGAATTTTGGGTAAGACAAGTTGAAAGTATTATTTCGAAGAATGAAAACCAGGGAGATAATCTAATTAAATGCTCTTTATGGATGAAAGTCTTACAACTACAAATGTTTCAGTAATAGTCTAATGCATTATAAAATGGTAGAATAGCTCAGTTGTCTATTGCACTCAACCATGCCCCACAGAGCGCCTCTTGCAGAACTGAAAGCCTAAATGCCCAATCCAATAGGTTCAAGGAGAAATAATTTGGATGAAACCATCAGGCAAGGATGGGCCACAAACTACACCCGCTTAAAAGAATATGTTACAGTATTGGGCCACCAATTTAGGCTATTACAGCATCAATATGATAAACACATCTCCTAGGGAACTTGCAAAGTGTTCTTGTTCAGCCATTTAGTTATTAAGTCTTATCTACTTAATATGAACCTATATGGGTAGGCGTATCCGGAACAATAAGGTCTGCCAATACGGCAAATTTCTAAAAAACAAGGATATGAATATGATACGGCAATTAAAATAATGTTTTTAATAAAATATATTTCATTATATAAGTAAATCACAAAAGAGTGAAACATTCATGTTTTATCATTTGACATTAACAAAATAAAACGCTGCTCAGTCTTTTCGGTTCTTCAGTGTTATAATTCTGATTCCCTCTAGATCTTGCTCTTTGATGTATCCGGCAATAGACTAAAACTTAACAAAACAGAAAAACTAGAAACACACAAGTTGGTTTACATGCCTATGTATTTTCTGATTAAGTTTCCTATTCTATATGGAATAGGAAAGTACACTTTCTTACCTATTCCAATTGGACTTCTAAGATTCCTAATCTAATTGTACAAGGAAACTTTGATTCTTTCCTAGTCCTTTTTGGAGAAGAATCGGTGCACCTGTAATTTTCCTAACACAATCCTAAACAAAATAGGACACTAACTTTGATGAGCCAAAATCCTAACATTAAGAATGGTCCCTGCCACTCCCAGGACCGGAACCCTGCTCAATGGGTCTACATCCATCTCTAAATGTCCTGGTGGGTCTACCAAACCCGTAAAAACAACGGAATTTAGAAACTAGAACAACCCAAATTCCTAACTTAATTCAAGATCAATATCTTAGAAGTATCTTGACCGTATCCTCGGAGTATCCGAGAACTATCCTATAGTCAACAACCCAAAAAAAATCAATGATACTCCAAATACGTATCGGACGGTATCATGGAGGTAGGAGTGTAGGAATCCAAAACTCACCCCTGTCCAAATTTGAGGTATCGGTGCAACATAGGTTTCAACTAACTCCCGTCCTTAGAAACAATTTCCTATCCAGATTATGTTGGAGGTTCCAACAACCCCAATGGAAATTGTAAACAGGAAGTTTAATTAGAGAGAACTGTCCGATAAGTTCAATTGCAAAGCTCAAATTCAGATGTATCCAAATCTGAGAATCCACAAGTTGCACTCCACAAAATGCACTACAACCAATGAGAATTTGATGTTTAATTCAACAAAACATGAATCAAAATATGCGGACTATCTCTGTCGAAATTTTCTTTCATAACCTTCGGGGGCAACGAACCAAAAAGCTAATACATTGACAGATTTACCAACTTATAGATGGTCTTTCTGTTCCATTATTAACCTAGGGATCTCAACAATTTTATATGCACTAAACATAAAGTCAAAGGCTAAAAAAATGATCAAACAGGTAATCTCGGAAATTTAAAATACAAAGGTGAAAACAAAGAAGGGACGCAACTCATAAAAGCAAAGGACATTCACATTATCATCAGAGCTTCACTCGCCTACTTACCAAATAATGATGCAATTAGAGACACAACGCGCTCCTCCAGCTCCTCGTTGTAACGCTCCTTCTTGTTTTTCTTATTAATTGGAATCTACACAACCAAAAAAGTTTTATCATCCACCTCTAATTAGTCAAAATAAGTTATATGTTAGTGATCACATTTTATAATTGCTCTATTGCATCATGAAATTCAATACCCTGCAAAGTTTTAGTTATTAACTTCTTGTTCTCATGGCATACTCATGCTGCTTCCAGGACACAATCTAAACTAAAGCAAGACATAAGTAGAGCAGAAAAAGGGTAGGCAGCACTTGCCTTACCCATAAAAGCTGCAAAGGCCGTCTTCAACCCCAAAACATCAATGAAACGTTCACAGGCCGGTGGGTACTTGGTCATGGCAAAATCGAGCGCCCTTATGGCCGAGCCATAAGCAGACTTCTTTTGCTTCATGATAATAATCATTAACTCCACACCTTCAGCCTTGACAAACCTCTCCTTGTTTTCCAAGGGCATCAACAAACAGCACAAACAATCAAACAAATTCTCTAACATCTCGGCCTCCTCGGAGCTTTTGGGGTCCTTCGACTTGTACATAGCCACCGCCTGAAGCAACACATCCACACCGTTCATCTGCCCCAACCTCTTCTGATTGGGAACACTGGTCTGCAACATTATAGCCAATATCTCCGATGCATACTGCTTGTTCCCGTCAAACTCTCTCACCTTAATCTTCCCCATCAACCATTTGAGCAGCTTTGTTCTCTCGCACACCATCTCCGCCACCGCCGGCTTCACCTCCATCAAATTCTCGATGGTGGCGAGAGTGCTGTGCACGGCGGCGCTCTCATCGGGGTCCGAGTCGTTCAACCGGTGCAGATTCTGAACCAACAATTCGAGAACATTGTTGTCGACGAGGGCATCGACGAGAACCCTAGCGGGCTCGTCGTTCTCGTCAAAAACGTCCTCGTCGGTTAAGTCCTGAAGCAATTGGACGACGTCGATTGCAATGTCGGTGTTGTCGTGGCCAAGGAGGTTGAGGATGGAAGGGACGGTGTTGAGGGAGACGAGTTCCGGGTAGAGCTCCGGAGCTCCAGCGAGGACCTTGAGCTTCTGGAGTTCGTCGTGGAGTTCGACCTCGGAGTCGGCGAAGCGGTCGGGTTGGTCCGGGTACTTGAGTCTGGCTCCGATGTTGTCCTTGAGACGCCGCTCGAAGGACAGCACCAGCTTCTTTAGGTTTCGGATGTCTAGGGCTTCTACGGCGTTTTGGGATTTCTCTACTGCCTCCAGCAGGGCCAGGTCGATGTCGCCGTTCGGGACGACGCCCTCTCGCTTGCGTTTGACATTGGGGTTCCGACCGTCGACAACTTCCATAGCGTTTCCGTCACTGTTTCCGTCGGAGATGGATTTCTTCAATCAAACCCTACTGCCTACTGGCGCTGCTCTGCTTTTGCCTCCGTCTAAAGATGATTTCTTGCCTTCCTCTTCAAAGTGATATTCACTTACCAAAGGCCATCAGGCACAAATAATTCATTTTATCAAAAATAAAATTTAATAATAATCAGAAGTTTATCCATAAAAAAACTACCTATTTTAATGGAGAAATTATAAAGTGATACGGTACTACCAGCTCGCATTGAACGTGATCACATTCATTTCGCCATGTGTCCAGCCAATAAACACAAGCTAAAGCCGTTTATTCTGACGTTACAATTTGAATTTGATCAATGTGGGACAACGATTTTTCAAGGTAGAGTAATACGAATTGGAATACGTATACCTCAGAAGTTCGGTCATGGACTTAACAGCTCCAATCAGATTGAGCTTCTCAAACGAATGAGCGATTCAACCACATCCTATTGGGCTCTGGAAAGGTAGGCGAATTTGCTTAGCTCCTCCGTCGGCGATGCACAAATTTGGTTCCAACAATTGGTGATTTCATTGAAAGTGAACTCATATTCTCCTGACCAAATCACTCTACCACGCAATATCTACTTCAAATAGTTCAGTGAACGCTGGTACCAATTCTGATGGAGGGAGCAATCAATATCTCTGTGCCTCTGTCGATTTATGTAACAATGGTGCCCCTAATGGCAGATTTACCCCCACCATGGACCAGATTTGGGAAGCCTCAACGAGGATCAATACCTCTATCAACAAACTTCAGAAGATTTCGAGAGCTTCTTGGGTGGAGAACCGATCGAATCATGTTAACCTCAAAGTGTTGGAAGTATTCCCTAAAACCAATCATTAGATGATACTTTACAAACATTTCACATGTTAAACTAATTTTGTGAAATCTAGTTCCCATATGTCACTATTTAATTTTACATATTTGGCATTTAAGTGAATTTACCTTACTTTCATTAATTTTAGATTTTCAATTAACTAGTTATAAAGTTTGAATTTTCATTGCTAGCCATTAATATTTTGTAGACCTTGTGAGGTCACATTAAGTATATTTGGATAGAGCTTGATCCCATAAACGTTTAGCCAAAAACCATTCTCGAATCGAAGTTATAATCAAGGAGAAATTAACAAAGAAAGGCACGGGCAAAATCATCCTTTGGACAAATATATACATATAGGAGCTCCAGCATTGCTGGAAGGAGGGGTATTTTACAGTTTCGGAAAGTTGACCCGTGTGTTGGCCCAACTTTATAGAAAGCCCCAACGACTATTCACACTATTTTCCAGCGAATTGATCGTCGTCACCACCATCATTCAATTCATCTTAGTGCCACAATCACGACCTACCCATATTTAACCCACTTTGGTCGCGAATCCGTGAAAAATCACAGAATTTCAACGGGCAGCTACTACTCCCATCAGACAGATTACGATCCCAGGAACAAAACACGACCGTTTGATCAACTATTGTGTCAGCGACATAGGCGCAACGGCATTCGATTTTTCCAAGCGCCTAATCCTTTTCAGGTGATTTTCACCACTTTCCGTTCATATTTTGGCTTCGGTGCATGTATGATAAAGGCTCTACCTCTCACAATCTTCAATTTGATATATTTTGAACCATTTTGTGTTGGTTGGAAATTCCGGCGAGTCGAGGCCAACAACCTCCGCATGCGGCTGCGCGTGGCTAGTTGCCCAGCTTTGTCCTTGTAGGGCAAATTCAATACCCTGAATTGGTTGACACCTGTTTGATGTAATTCTGTTTAAACTTAATATCGTAAAGGTCCACCACATGCCCTTTGTAATAGACGAAGATCCGACCGTTGGATTTACAAAATTGTAATATATGGTTATACGTAATATTTGATGATCTTAGATATTTACGGATCAGAAACCTGACATACAGATCTTCCCGGGTTGAATTTCTGAGTTTGTAGAAACGATCGTTGACCACCACCTAAATTTACAATTAGTAGAGAATCGACCGCTAAATCGTCACGAATTTTAAATATGTTGTTCCAGAAACATATTGAGACTCTTAAAAAGTTACGGAGTTACGGATTGGAAATCCAGTGGGTGGATCTTCTGGATTAGATTACTTGGGTTGTTGACTGTTCCGTTGACCACGTTGACCGATGGTTGACTTTTGGTCAACATGTTCCAAATCATTCTTCAATACTAAAATTAGTGGTACTAGAGGTTCATTAGAGCCTAGTGGGCTTATCTTGGTTAGCGAGCTATCCCAGTTGATGTATATCTCGATTTGCACGCAAGTAGCACCTTATTAGGGTTTTTGTGTTTGTTGGGCTTCTAGGTAAAGTAATGATAATGTGTAATTGTTTGTGTGAGACGTGAGACGATGAGTGAAGACAATATTTGAGTTATTTAGTACAGTGTGTACATCTGTATGACAAAATAATCGTTGTTATGTAGAATATTGCATATGTGATGACAATTGTGATCTTTGATAAAATGTTATATGACATGGAATTTATGATGCTTGATATGTAATGATATGATTGCACCATGTAGCAGTGGTAGATGGATGGTTCTACTTGGTATATCAGCGATGGGGAACCATACGTTTTAGGGGTGATCATATTTGGTATATCTGCGATGGATGATCATCACTTACATGATTAGACTATGCCTATGGTTCTGCTTGGTGTATCTACGATGGGGGACCATACGCATTCTAGGAGCGATCACTCTTGGTATATCCATGATAAGCGATCTCTACCTAGTACTATAGGATGCGGCCCTGCTTAGTTAATTCACATTTGGGCGTCCATACGCATTTTAGGGGTGACTCTACTTGATTAATCCGCATTAGAGGGTCACTGCCTACATGGTTACATAGTGCTCAAAGGTGGTCCTACTTGGTATTTTTGCATTAGGGGACCACACCATTCGATACATGCCTATGGTCTTACTTGGTTAATCCACATTGAGGGACCATATGTATTTTAGGGGTGACCCTACTTGGTCAATCTGTATTGGGGGTGGCCTATGTGGTTACCTTGTTTTCATAGGTAGTCCTGCTTAGTTAATCTACATTTGGGGACCATGCTATCGGATGGATATTTATGGCCATGCTTGGTTAATCCGCATTGGGGAACAATACGCATTCCAGAGATAGAGTCCGTTGAGTTGTTTGAAGACCTCGCTTCGACTCATTTCCTTTGGATTTGTTTAGAATGTGGAAGATTATGAGTTGTAGGCTTCGACTGAACTGTGTCGCTCTAACCCTAGTTTCAGCGTAATGAAAAACGATAGATTCGAGAACCTTTGGGGTTGTCTGTATGACCCTTTCGGGATTTCTAGCAAATTGTTTATCATTTTATAAAGGATGGTTATGAATGTTATTATTACAATCAAATTGGTTAATCAATGTGCTTAAAGAATAATATTGTGCACCGTTGGTTCTTTGAAATGTTATATGTTATCGATTAGGGTATTGTGTCAAAAAAATGGTGTGATATATGTGATTGACGAAATGATAATCCTGGTTGTCATATGTTTTCTTTATATTGTTCGAAATCTAAAAAGTCATGCTCGTCGAGTTCCATTGAGTGATTATGGAATTCTATGTTTTTATGTAAGAATGTACTATGAAAAACGTCGGAGTCTAATGAATAGTGAACTACGAATGTCTTAATCTCGTCTTTAGGTACGTAGGCAGTCTAGCACAAAGGTTAGATGCAGCCATGTGATAACAGAAAAGTTAATATACTATTGATTCGTTGAGTTGTGTTTTGGTCATGTCTCGGAGGCAAGGCATGAAAAATGAACATGTATGTGGTGGCGTCTGATAGGAGCATATTTAGGCGACTTACTTAGCTTGTTTTCGTGCATCTATGTTGTTAATTCATAGTTGTTTTAGTAGTTTAAGCCATTTTCGTGTGTTTTTAGGTTCATATGGCTAAGGAAGCAAAAAGATGCATTTTGGAGCAAAATTGGGCTTGGAATGGATAGCATATTTTTGGAGCCAAAGTGTTGGACGAATTTGAAAGCCTTGTATGCACTTTGGACATAAAACAAAGGACCTAGCCCAATCAAACAATCATTTGAGCCATGCAAAACCTCTAGCCCAATCAACAAGCCTTAGCCACATGCATTCACATGCATCACAACCCCAAAACCATCAAGAAACACCCATTCATACACACATGCACTCACATGCATTCACATGCATTTCCACCTTCCTACTTCATCATTTCACCACATTCTCCCTCTTTAACTCACATGCACCCAAACAAAGCCAACCTAGCTAACCCTACATGCATTATTTATTAAATTTTCATCATGCATCCACATTCATTCCAACACAAAACACACACATGCACTTATTCTTTCATCATTGCACCACCAATTCACCCACATGCATTTCCAACCATTCACACCCCTTTAATCATTCTCCTAGCTATCATTCACATGCTCTCCCATCCATTCTCTCCCTATATGTTCCCTCCACTACTCCTATAAATACCCTTGCATTCATTCATTCATTCACCATCTCATTTCATACACAACACACCACAAACACTTCCATCTTCTCCCTAGCCGTGAGTTTCTCTCCATTTCCCTTCCATTTCTCCTCCATTTCTTCCATTTCCATAATCCCCCAATCCATTCAACACACCTACAACATCCCTTAGTTCTTGTGCCACAATAAAGAGGAAGATAAGAGGGCCTAAACGTTCATACAATTCACGTTTGAGTTGTTGGAATGTTTACGCGTTTCTTTGATTTCAATGTTTAAATTCAATTCTCTTTGTTTTGTAATATGAGGAATGGAAGATAAGAGGGCCTAAACGTTCATACAATTCACGTTTAAGTTGTTGGAATGTTTAGGTGTTTCTTTGATTTCAAAGTTATGAGGAACTAAACCCTTTTTTGGCTAGGGGTGATTTCAATACCATGATTATTTATGTAATATGAATTGATGAATTCCAGTTATGAACTCTTGATTCGTGAA